CTCAGACTGTTGTGTGTTTGGGTGTATCGCTCAGACTGTTGTGTGTTTGGGTGTATATCCCAGACTGTTGTGTGTTTGGGTGTAACGCTCAGACTGTTGTGTGTTTGGGTGTATCGCTCAGACTGTTGTGTGTTTGGGTGTAACGCTCAGACTGTTGTGTGTTTGGGTGTATCGCTCAGACTGTTGTGTGTTTGTGTGTATCGCTCAGACTGTTGTGTGTTTGGGTGTAACGCTCAGACTGTTGTGTGTTTGGGTGTAACGCTCAGACTGTTGTGTGTTTGGGTGTAACGCTCAGACTGTTGTGTGTTTGGGTGTATCGCTCAGACTGTTGTGTGTTTGGGTGTAACGCTCAGACTGTTGTGTGTTTGGGTGTAACGCTCAGACTGTTGTGTGTTTGGGTGTAACGCTCAGACTGTTGTGTGTTTGGGTGTAACGCTCAGACTGTTGTGTGTTTGGGTGTAACGCTCAGACTGTTGTGTGTTTGGGTGTAACGCTCAGACTGTTGTGTGTTTGGGTGTAACGCTCAGACTGTTGTGTGTTTGGGTGTAACGCTCAGACTGTTGTGTGTTTGGGTGTATCGCTCAGACTGTTGTGTGTTTGGGTGTAACGCTCAGACTGTTGTGTGTTTGGGTGTAACGCTCAGACTGTTGTGTGTTTGGGTATATCTCTCAAGGTGTTGTGTGTTTGGGTGTATCACTCAGACTGTTGTGTGTTGGCATGTATCTCTCAGACTGTTCTGCATTTATAATGTTGAAATGGCTGTGTGTTTTGTCTAACACTCAGACTGTTGTGCGTTTATAGTTGCGTCTCATTAAAAGTAAAGAGAGGTCTGCAGGCTCCAGTGAATGATGTAATTAGGAGAGTCAAATGAGGGCAGAGATTAATTAGCCCACCGGGATCAGCTGAGAAACAGGACATTCATCAGACATTTCTGTGGGACCCTGGAGCAGAAACGCAATGCGGAGATTTCCCCTCCATCCGTGCACACATACATGCCTCCATTCATCCCTCTTTCCTCTCCTTTCCTCCGCCCAGCTCATCCCTTGCTCCCTCAACACCAGCAAACGTGAGGAACATGCAGACACCAGTCAAACTCTCTCTCTTTCTCTTCCTCTCCGCTCTCCCACTCTTTCTCAGAAAAAATCAATCTCAATCTCAGCCTCTCTCTCCTTCTCCATCTCTCAGTGTCTCTCCCTCTCCCTCACCTTTATCTCCCTCTGGCTCTCTCTAGCTGTTTTTAATTCACCCATCAGTGTTTTATGTTGGGTTTAAAAACAAAAGACTACAGAAACACAAATGTCAGTTAATGAATTTCATCATTGATAAATCAGCAGTCTATAGTACATGAACAAATGCATAGAGGAGCTGAAAACACACTGCATTCATGTTTAAAAACTTGTCCAAATGAAAAATAATTGTTGGATTTTAATAATTAAAAGCTATTTATGTCTTTGAGTGGTGTTGCAATGCTGGGTTGTGCTTTGTTCCTAATCAAGAGTTGTGTTTTAAAATGAATTGATTTGATTTTGAAACTGAATTGTTATATAAGATAAAATTAATAAAATTATTATTATTATTATTATTTATTTTGTTTTATTTATTTATTTTTTAAATGTTTTTAATAGATTACATATTTGAAGTGCTTTGGCAATACTGTACTGAATGTCATGCCAATAAAGCAACTTAAACTTGAAAATGAGATCTCTGTCTCTCTCTCTCTGTGAGTGTTTGATTTCCTCCTCATCTTTCCTGTCTTCATCCCTCTGCTGTCCAGCTTCTGCCAGTGACTCTCTCTCTCTTTCTCTCTCTCTCTCTGTTTGCTTTCTTTGTCTGTAATAGAAATATTTGCTCACAAACACAGATGAACTCCGGCCCACCTTCAGAAAGGCCCACTGATGGTTGCTAGGGGGATTGGAGGTTGCTAGGGTGCAATTTCTAAGTCGGTTTTAAGCAAATCCTGAGGTATTTTTATTGGTTGCTAGGCAGATGCAAAAGATGGTTGAGATAAGAAGTGGACATCAATTTTGGCAACTGACAGAGTATGTATACACAGACATATAGATAGACAGATGGATGCATAGATAGATGATGGATGGATAAATAGATGGACGGATAAATGGATAGGTGCAAAGATAGATAGATAGATAGATAGATAGATAGATAGATAGATAGATGATGGATGGATAGATGGATAGATGGATAGATGGATAGATAGATAGATAGATAGATAGATAGATAGATAGATAGATAGATAGATGATAGATAGATAGATAGATAGATAGATAGATAGATAGATGATAGATAGATAGATAGATAGATAGATAGATAGATGGATAGATAGATAGATAGATAGATAGATAGATAGATAGATAGATAGATAGATAGATAGATAGATAGATGATAGATAGATAGATAGATAGATAGATAGATAGATGGATAGATAGATAGATAGATAGATAGATAGATAGATAGATGATGAATGGATAGGTGATGGATAGATAGATAGATGGATAGATGAATGGATGAATAAATGGATGAATGGATAGATGCAAGGATAGATCTGATATATTGATTATGTCCCTGAATCCTGTGGTGTTGTTCTTTCTGTTGTTGATGTCTGTAAAGCGGTGTTCACACACTCTACACTGCAGACGCTCCACACATATAAAGACTGGATTTCAGACACATTCATTAACACCGTTACCTTCCACTGAGGCTACATTTGGCCAATCACAGCTGCTCACGGGACGACAACATGAAGTGTGTGTGCGCATGTGTCAATATGTGTGTGTGTGTGTGTGTGTGTGTGTGTGTGTGTGTGTGTGTGTGTGTGTGTGTGTGTGTGATTTTAGCACATAAAAACTCCCACAGATGGTAAACTGACTCACCGTTTCCAGGCTCACACTCCTCGAGATCTTCATCATCACTCGGACATTCAGCAGATGCTACTAACAGATCGTCAGTATTCTGCAGAGCGAGAGAGAGAGAGAGAGAGAGAGAGAGAGAGAGTGAGTGAATACACTGTCCTCCTTCAATGTAATACATTACAAACACCTAATACATGGCTATCTGGAATACTTGATTCTGATTGGTCCAGTGGCGAAGCCACATATGTGTCAGGGAGGCACTGGCCCACTCAGACTGAAGGCTGGCCCACCCGGACAAAACTATTAAATGCAATGTAATGTGTATTTATAAAATGCATTTATCGTGTATGGCATCTGAAAGACGGCGCTCACTGACAGTATAGAGTCCCCTTCACTATACTGGGGCATTAGGACTCCACAGACCACAGGTTGAGCGCCCCCTGCTGGACTCACTAACACCACTGACAACAGCAGCCTAGTGTTCCCATGTGGTCTCCCATCCAGACACTGACCAGCCTCAGCCCTGCTCAGCTTCAGTAAGTGACCGCTCTCGGGCTGCACAGTGATATGGCTGTGTAGTTTTTTAAAGCCGAAACATCCTGCGTAAAAACATGACGACCCTAATTTACAGAAATTGCTAAAAGTATGAAAGAATATAGTTCATATTCTTTAAAACACACACAGAAACAGGGAACGCCCTTATTTATATATATATATATCCACTAATGTAAACTATATGGTCACCTGGTGGTCATGTCTGGTACTGCAGCCAAACTAAACCTCACTGACAGCTCATATTTTGAGATATTAACTTCAAATTTGTAATAAAATGTGTCTAGATGTTTTCGAAAGCTTAATTTCTTGAAAGCTCGTTTATTTTAAAGCTGAAAATTCTGCATAGATAGCGATGGTAAGGCTGAATGTAAATTTAATTTGATGTTGAAGTCTTGTCATTGTAAGTCTTTCAATCAAATGTACAATCGCCCTCCATTGCACCAAAAACTGATAAGTGCAACTGTTGATCTGCACTTTACACTGAAAACGAAACAAGAAGCGCTGTTTAGCTCTTTCTGGACAAGAACGTTATACATGATAAACTGAGTACTGTGAGAGAGTTATGATAATACATTAATCTGATATTGTTTGCAGGAATAAATGACATGCTTTATTTAGGTAGTTTTCATTGTAGTCTTGTAGTGTAGTGTAGTAATCATGTTTAGCCAATCATTGGGAGTTTTACAATTCAAAACCTAAAATCTGTAGAAAAATCTAAAATCACTTACAAAAAAGTAGCTAAACGTGTTACTTATAGTGCAGCCCTGAGGGATTTTGAGTGAACTAACCCTTTAACCCCTTACTGTACGTTTACTTCACTATATTGCGGACTAAGCCGAAAAAAATGAATGAATGAATGAATATCGTAATTAAATCCTAATATAATCATACAAACTATATATGGTTGAAAAGGACTAACTCTTCTGAACACATATTTTACTATAGATTTTTTGTCTTTTATTTTTTAGGAAGAGCAATAGGTCAAAACACATTTACTGTCAGCCTGTGGGGGCATCTGCAGTCACATTTATAAACCATAATATTAAAGTCAAAACATAAAGCAATCATCACACACTATATATCATTTGAAAGCTTAATACGTCTAGTTACCATATCTGAGTTACTCATAGATATTACTGAGCAACTGTTATTTATTAATGTGACAAAAGGAGACTCATCAGAGTTGTAAAGCATTACTATGCTACAGCAATCCACATGTCAACAGTTTAAAACGTTTTTAGAGGCAAAATTCATCAAATACCGTCAAATTGCCCATACTACTGTAGAAGTTGATGCCTAATTTACAAATATTATCAAAAGCATAAACAATAGAGTTCATGTTCCTCAAAACATACACAGAAACAGGGGAAGCCCTCACATGGTCACAATTTTTTCAATTACTTTCCCTATCGAATATGGAGTCACGTGACCCCACTCTGTTAGGGCTAATTTATATGTATTATATTATTCTGACATTATACTTTAGCCAAGCACACGGTGTGGTGCAGCCTTCACACACTCGTGCACCTCTCAAATGCGTAACGCAAGCTTTGTGATTGGTCAGTTTGGTATCGGTGATGAGGGTGTGCGGTGAGGAGAGCCACGATTTGAGCAATGTGTGTTGTTCAGCGTTAGTGTTAATTAAATAATCATAGATGATAGATAGCGTGTGTTTACTTCAGTGTGTGTTTACTTTAGTGTGTGTTTACTTCAGTGTGTGTTTACTTCAATTATTTTAAAATCAAGTAATGCACCCTACATCCAAAAATAGCGCTTTAAAAATAAAAAAAAACTTTTAAAAAGCATATTTACTGTACAAAACATGTCAGTGAACTATGAGGACAAACCATAAAATAAGTAAATAAAATAGTCAATAATTAATACTAGTCAAATTAAAATGTTCAATGAATCGAGGCCAAATCGCCCTAATAACTTCATTCATTCATTTTCATTTCACCTCAGTCCCTTTTATTAATCAGGGGTCGCCACAGTGGAATGAACCAACAACTTATCCAGCACATGTTTTAAGCAGTTGATGCCCTTCTAGCCGCAACCCATCTCTGGGAAACACTCATACACTACGGACTATTTAGTCTACCCAATTCCCCTATAGCGCATGTGTTTGGACTGTGGGGGAAACCGGAGCACCCGGAGGAAACCCACGCGAAGGCAGGGAGAACATGCAAACTCCACACAGAAACGTCAACTGACCCAGCTGAGACTCAAACCAGCGACCTTCTTGCTGTGAGGCAACAGCACTACCCACTGCGCAACTAATAACTTGTTTTCTTGAACTTTTTGAACATCTTTCTTTAATCAGACTACAATCCATCAAGTATGTTCTGTAAAGCGAGACTAAGCCTGAATATGTACACCAAAGCGTTCACCAATCATTCACTATACGTTGAACATCTAATTTTCATGTCTATGTTTAAAGAGTGAGGCTTGCAGTTAAAGGGTTAATCAACTTTTTGACTGATTATTATTCAAACACTTAATGAGAACTGAAAGCTGCAGAGAAATCTGTCTGATAAGAGCTGAGCATTTGCGTTGGTCTCGTGCTTTTACTGTGGACTGGACCAGAAACTCATTTCCAGCAGATTTCCTCCTCGTTCGCTCTCCGCTTTAGCCGCAGGACTCCTCCTGTGTTTCTTTTAATTATTTCAGGAAAGCCGCTGTACTGCCGCCTGCAGGGTTTGCTCACTTATTTATTTCATGAAGTGATATTTATTAAAGACTACATCGTTTGGAGCGTCTCGCCTCAAAAGCACATTTCATTTCCACGTGTTCTCCGCGACCCAACGTGACGGTGGAGATCTGCTTAACTCATTCAGTGAACGCACTAACGCTGCAGTCTGGAATCTGTTCTCGCTCTCTCAGGGAAACTAATGGAAAATCAAGCTTTGTTTGTCAAATATTAATGCACTGACTCATGTTTGCGTCAGCCGATCATTTGTTGCCCAAATCAAATGTCTCTCTGTTCTGTTTGTGAACTGGATTAAAATTAGATATATGCACCAATCAAACACAGCCATAACACAACAGGCCACGCCCCCTTTTTAAGAGCTTTGCAATATAACAATATACAGATGAAGTCAGAATTATTCACCCCCTGTTTACTTCTCCCCAATTTCTGTCTAACAGAGAGCAGATGTCTTCAGCACATTTCTAATCATAACAGTGTTAATAACTCATCTCTAATCACTGATTTACTTATTTTTATAAAGTGGCTTAATTAATTTAATTAGGTTTATTAGGCAGGTTAGGGTAATTAGGCAAGTTATTGTATAACGATGGTTTGTTCTGTAGACTATACGAAAAAAATAGCTTAAAGGGGCGAATAATATTGAGCTTAAAATGGTTTAAAAAATTAAGAACTGCTTTTATTCTAGCCAAAATAAAACAAATCAGACTTTCTCCAGAAGAACAGATATTATCAGACATGCTGTGAACATTTCCTGAATCTGTTCAACATCATTTAGGAAATATTTCAACAAGAAAAAAAGGGGCGCTAATAACTGACTTATAGAAAGTCTGCCATTTCTTATGAAAGCCTATGATTTTCTTATCTCACATGGTTTCCTGTTTGCTCATGATGCTGGATATGGTCTATAAATATAAATACCCCTTTATTGATCACAGGCTGTTAAAAAAACAGAGGCGGCAGAACATGATGACGCCAGTAATATGCGAGCTGATGGACCTGAAGCTGCAGGTGGGTGAGGCCTGGTGTACAGGCTGACCCTTCAGGATCAATGCGGGGACTCGTCTGTCACTTACAGGGATCAGTCTCACGCTCTCCACTCCTCCATGAATTACCATCGCAGTTTAAAGTTTCCACTAGATGGCAGACATGTAGCAGATTTCTTTATTCTGAAAAGTTTCTAGATGAAGTCTTATTGATGTAATCGCGCTGTTTTTGCCGTTGAGCTCTGTGCGCCTGCGGTTGCAAACTGAGTGAAAAAAGCATGCTAAGTCTGTCGCATCTTTATTTATTGTCCAATCAAATGAAAGCAGAGGCGGTGTTTCCGTTGACGGACAGCAGTGTTTGTGTTGTCATGATGAAGATGGAGGAGAGACTAGCGGTCGCTGTTTCCAGTTATTCTGAGCTGTACGACTTCACAAATCCTGAATATCACAATATTAATACATATGACAATTATGACAACATCAACAGCATCATACGCAGCTGATTCAGTGGTTGCCTAGCAACATGAAAAGCGCAGCACACTTCTTTCGCTCTTGTCAACAGTAAAAGGCAGTGCAGCGTGACTTGAGAACTCAGAACAGACAAGTCTGCAAAAGACTATGAATGAGTGAACCTGCGCACATATCCTGACTCTGATTGGCTGTGGCCATTTTCCTCTCTCATATCGACTCCGCCCATTAGTGTTTATTTTCAGCTCTGGGTTCAGCTTCTAGCCAATAGCAGAACACCAGCTACTTGGGAGGCGGGGCCAAAGATAGTAAGACCACATCTGACTGGTCAAATTTAGATAAACAACCAACGCATATAATAAAAGTCATTTATCACACACGTCTGCGATACAATACTGCACATGCTATTATCACGATAACGGTCATTTTGCAATCTATTGCGCAGCCGTAATTTGAATGCACTTTATAATGAGGAAGTAATAATGGCATGCGTGTGATATAAAGCGTTTCCTCTGCAGCTCCAGGAGAGTTTCAGCACTGTATGCTCACACAGATCTCCTCACAGGAGCCAGTGATAACATTTCCTACAGCTGCGGGTTACTGCTGTACACTTGACATTTAGCAGCGGTATTCTGAGTCTGTAGGAACACAGCGCTGGCTATAGGCACGTCACGTCAGCTTCACTTAAACACCACGTCTATATTGTTTTAGAAACTCCCTTTTTATGAGTGTAAATTCAGTCTTGAGTCAGTTATTCTCCATTTACCCATTACAGAGACACTCAGGGCTCGCTTACATGACTCTGAGTTCATTATCTAGACTGAATCTGACCACATTATTCCTTATTTCTGATAACAAAAATCTGATTTATGCAAAGAATTATGCAAAATGGGTGTATTTTGGGAGTATAGTCACTTTTTTAGTAACAGGTATATTTTAAAACTTGCTGACGATTCTGTAATTGTTATCAGGGCTTTACATTAACACCCGTTAACCCAGCAAATGCGGGTAGATTTCAGCTTTGGCGGGTTAGACAGCCGCTCCCACTAGCCACTTTGGCAGGTTGGAAATAAGTTTTACACTGTAGTTTTCTTAAAGCAGGGTTCGACAATAAGAATGGCCCAATATGCGTGCAAATGTGATAATTGAATCGAGAAGCAGCACGACTGACAAAAATAACTGTGTTCGCGTGAGACAAAACAGGTAAATACCTTATGAGAGGATGATTACTCGCGCGCACAGGTGATGTGATGCGCGCGACTGTTAAAAAGCGTGCGCGCTCCCATTTACTTGCAAACACCGTGTGTAGAGGAAGCGCAACTGGTGCAATCGGTTCCCTTTGAAATAGACTAGACAAAAAGCGATGCTCGTGTAAGCAGCAAACCTTTTGTAAGCAGTAGCAGCAGTCACTTCTTTCGTTGTAATTATTCTCAGGCACGTGATCATCCGTTCATTATCACTCGTGGAATGTTCCACCTGCTTTCTTTTGCTCACAGTTATTTTGTTAATATAGTTTAAGCATCATCCTTTGCAATAACATTGCTTTAATATGAGATTAACTCCCCATTTATGTGTAGTAACCGCTGATCTGAGACCTTTAGCCAGGACAGATTACTGTGCATATTTTAGATCACGATATCAAAATTATGAACATCGACCGATACAGATCCGATCCTGTGCCTTTTTTATTTTAAGCACAATACAGTGTCTATAGTGCTGGTGATACAGTCAAATAACATCTTCTTTAGTCAAAATAACAGACCTATAGGCCCACTGTATATGACAGACACACAATCTCACTAACTAAACCACGATGTGTGCTGTACACTAGACTCATTACTCGAGCATTAATGATCAGTTGTGCTCCAGCTCATGTTTACTATTTAATATTCAGATTCATCTTGACATCTGTACGCTAGCACTATTGACCCTAGTCAAAACACAAACAGCTCTGTTAAATAAAATATTAATACAGATAACATTTCAGAGGAGCCTATATTAGGCTCAATAATTGTTCTGTTAATGATTATCAGTGTCACTTTTATTATTTTAGTCAGCTACTCTGACCACAATAAGGCAGGCTTTACAAACTATTAACAGCTACTAAAGTATTCCCCTTAGAAGAATAAACTCTGTCAGAAGGATGAGAGAACAGAAGATCCTTCCCATCACTAGTGTGTGTGTGTGTGTGTGCTCTGACCTGCGTGACGCTGTCCCTCATGGTGGGCGAGCGCTGCTTGCGGGTGGTGGTGGTGGCCATGGTGGTGGTGGTCTCCATGATAGTGGTGGACATGTCTGCGAGCGGGGTGGTGCTGGTGGTGTCGGTGGTCATGACAGAGGGTGTGTCTCCCACCAGACGCAGGTTCCCCTGGATCTGCACATTGGGGTCGGCCTCCGCCGCCAGCTTCAGCACCTGTAGCCCGTTATAATACAGACCCGAGATCTGGCCCTGGAAGTTACGGCCCTTCTCTCCGCCGCCGACCTTAATGAAGGCCTGACTGTTGAAGATGGTGAGCTGCCGACCTGCGGGGAACACACAGCAATTCAACACATACACACACACATACAGACAATACACATACAGCTGAAGGCTGAGTTATTAGCCCTCTATTAGCTCTGAGAATACTGTTAATGTTTTACTCCATTCTGTACCTGATTTACTAAGCTTAGTTGTGACACTCAGATCTGTCTCAATAATAATAATGATAATCACCCTCATCACAAAAACAGCACACATGCAGGAATGACCTCTGGAGGAATGAAGAGTGATTATGATGATGAAGATGGTTCATTATTCAGAGTGACAAACAGATGGACAGCATTCAGAGAAAGGAAAGGGAGATTGATGATGATGAACACACACACACACACACACACACACTGGGTCCGTCATTCATCTTGACCTCTGCAAATGTGTGTGACTAAGTTTTTCGGTAATGATCTACAACTGTGTGTCTGTCCTGAGTGTTTATATCATCTTTATTTCACATCAGAAGATCAGATCTTCAGATCTGTGAGTGTCTGTGCGTGTGCCTTCACATCACAGTTCAGTCAACTAAACACTAAAAACAGTGAAGACAATGAGGGGTAACACCAGTGCTGTATGATCCACATGAACACCTCATCTGGAGGGAACCAGAAGGACCAGTCAAAGTAGAGTAGTTCATGTGACTAATCGCAGTAGTTACACTGACCAATCGGAGTGTAGTAGTTTAACTGACCAATCGGAAAAGAGTAGTTCATCTGACTAATCAGAGTAGAGTAGTTCAACTGACCAATCGGAGGGTAGTAGTTTAACTGACCAATCGGAAAAGAGAAGTTTATCTGACTAATCAGATTAGATCATCTAACCAATCAGAGTAGAGTAGTTCATGTGACTAATCGCAGAAGTTCAACTGACCAATCGGAGAAGAGTAGTTCATCTGACTAATCAGAGTAGAGTAGTTCAACTGACCAATCGGAGTGTAGTAGTTTAACTGACCAATCGGAAAAGAGAAGTTTATCTGACTAATCAGATTAGATCATCTAACCAATCAGAGTAGAGTAGTTCATGTGACTAATCGCAGTAGTTCAACTGACCAATCGGAGAAGAGTAGTTCATCTGACTAATCAGAGTAGAGTAGTTCAACTGACCAATCGGAGTGTAGTAGTTTAACTGACCAATCGGAAAAGAGAAGTTTATCTGACTAATCAGATTAGATCATCTAACCAATCAGAGTAGAGTAGTTCCTGTGACCAATCGGAGTAGAGTAGATAATCTGACCAATCGGAGTAGAGTAGTTCATGTGACCAATCAGAGTAGAGTAGTTCATGTGACCAATCGGAGGAGAGTAGATAATCTGACCAATCGGAGTAGAGTAGGTCATGTGACCAATCGGAGTAGTTCATCTGACCAATCGGAGGCGAGTAGATAATCTGACCAATCGGAGTAGAGCAGTTCATCTGACCAATTAGAGTAGAGTAGTTCAACTGACCAATCGGAGTAGATCATCTGACCAATCAGTGTAGAGTAGTTCATGTGACCAATCGGAGGCGAGTAGATAATCTGACCAATCGGAGTAGAGTAGTTCATCCGACCAATCAGAGTAGAGTAGTTCATGTGACCAACCGGAGAGGAGTAGTTCATCTGACCAATCGGAGTAGAGTAGTTCATCTGACCAATCGGAGTAGAGTACTTCATCTGACTAATCAGAGTAGAGTAGTTCATCTGACCTATCGGAGTAGAGGTCTCATGTTTAAAACAGCACATTAGTTTACAGCGGTCAGTCCTTTGTAATTACAGCTCAAGCCACTGGTGTGTGTGTGTGTGTGTACTGTGAGTGTGCACCAGCTGACCCGTGTCTACATCCTGTGGTCATGAAGGTTATGAAGCTGTTATTGAGTGTGTGTGTGTGTGTGTGTGTGTGTGTTGCTACAGCAGGTTTATCCTCTGTTCCTCTGACGACGCTTCACCAAACTCATCAACACTCAGATCAGAAGGGAATCAGAGCTGTTGCTGGGGACTTCAGCTGTTGCTAAGGTGACAATTAACGTGTCGCTATGCAGCAGCTCACTGTCGGTCTACTGGATGGTTGCTAAGGTGATCCGTCTTCAAAATAAACATCAACATCAGTATATCAGCAAAAGTGTGACCAGTGTCTGAAGAGTCTGAATATTGAGTTGAAGATGGAGTAAACACTCCCCACGTCATGTTTAACAGAGCAAGAGCAGTCCACACTGTTCCCCACAATAGCTTCCTTCTGGAGAAACTTTCCCTTCTACTTTTACTGGAACTCTATTTAAAAATATATTATCATTAAATATTATTCGCCTGCTCAAGAGATTGCTTTATTTTTGATTGGGGTTTTAAATTATATACACTACCTCACAATAACCTTGTATTGGTCTCAGTTGTAGGAGCAGCAGATCATAACTGGTCTTCTAGTTGATCATAAAGTGTTGAAGGTGGATTTCTCTGCTGGATCATCTGCATCAAAGATATATACATTAGATGTCGTCTACCCTGTTGTTGTCTATTGGAAGGAATGCGTCAATAGCGCCGCCATCTTGCTACAGGGTAGCGCTCCTTTGAAATGAATGTGGGACCAAGCTTCAGTGGAGGACTGTGGCCATCCAGAGCCAGAGATATACACATATACACATATATCTGTGATCGGGAGTTTTCCTGGATGTTAGTATGTAATTATTTTTTTCTAATTATGAAAATTATAATTTGACATCACTTTTCTACATTGATGGATCAGTGACCGCACGGGCATTCCTGACAAAAAGCTT